CTCCTTACTACATATTTCTTCGTGTAAACAGTCGAGGAGGCGATTAAGTTGCTTGCGAATCTCGTATGACATAATCGTAGGCGAGATTTTAGTTCTTGCCTGAATGTAAACATTATGATACGATAATCTTATGGCGATTATTGCTTACGATAATCGCCTACGAGTTTTCGTCACGAAGCGTGCGAGAAACTCTCCCCATCTAAATGGGCCTTAAGATGTAAACATTATGATACGATAAACTTATGGCGATTATTGCTTACGATAAACTTATGGCGATTATTGCTTACGATAATCGCCTACGAGTTTTCGTCACGAAGCGTGCGAGAAACTCTCTCCATCTAAATGGGCCTTTATTATTGGTTTAATATATTAATTAATTGCTTCTTTACATAAATTATCTAAATAATTATACTTTTCTGCTGTTGTTTTTAACTCTGTATAAGTTGTCCATGTTACCTGAAATAAAAGTTATGTAACAAAAGTCAAAAGAAATTAAACACATCAATTAAATAATCAAGTGACAAGATTTAAACAAAAATATGTACTTACAAGAGCTGCATGATACCCCAAAGCCCTCAGCTCCCTTATCTTTGCTTGAAAATGTCCATTGGAAATATCAGAGCCCTGAATAATGACATTTCTTCCAGCTATGACCAGTACAATCCATCTGTTGTTATCATTTGGGGCCTGCCTCATTATTCCAAAGGTTTTACTATTAAAAACTTCATGGACTGGTAGAGGCATTCCATTTTGATTATTGCAGAGAATAATATCTAGAAAACATCAAATAAATGTAAAAAATAAGACTATTTACAAAAATAAGATTTGTCCACATTAAATAATTCATTGTACCTCCTCTTTGGTGATGTGTTACTATATGATCACCTACTACATACTGTTCACCACGGTGTTCTCTCAGTAATTTAAAAACATCCAAAAACATTTTTTCACTGAGATTATACTGTTTCTTATAATTTTCGTTTGGCACATAATCAGTATGTTTTTTAGCTAAGATTATAGCTATTCTGTCATTAAGTCTATTCATTTTAGCTTCTTTACAAAATATTTGTGAAGTGTTATGAATTGTCAAAATTTCTCTACCATATGCAAAACATTGCTTCCCATAAGTTTTCAACAAAAACTCTGAAGATAAGACTTTACTCATAAGGTCAACTGGGTATATTTCTAAAAGTCCCAAATAAGCAATACAGCATGCATAAGATCGGCCATATTTTTGCACTTCAAGTTCCCTTTGGGGGTTTCTCAACTCTTCCATAATTCTTTCAAATAAACATTCTTTTGTCAAAGGTTTAAAGTTGAATGTCCCATAAGTCAACACTAATCTTTCTAAATCTTTCAGTCTACATGTAGATAAATTGCTTAATATACTTTCAGCTATTTTAGTCAAGCATCCTTTATGCAATGTGAGTGTGGAAGTTCCAACTAAAGCTAAATGTACATTACACATTACAGATAATCTGGATACTTCATGTTGAATTGTGTCTAGAAGTTTGTAGATAATATTACTTTTAGGTATTTTCATAGAGTATCTGATGATTTTTAAAAGAGCAGCCAGAGACACTTCATGTATATCTTTTGAGCATTCTATGATTTTATCAGCTATTTTCTCTACAAGACCCATACTCCTGATTGGTGTCTTACTTTTGAAAAAACCCATTGACATAATAGCTAAATCATCTATACTAAATTCTGAAAAGTGACTTTCTAAATATAGTTCTAAGTTATGCATATCAAACGGGGGTTTTCTCTGCACACCAATATAAAAAAATGTTTGTACTACTTGTCCTGGTGTTAACTGTTTTGCTTTACTGGCAAATTTCAGTATACATTTATTTGTAAAATCACTGGCTTTTGTAGTATTCAACATAAAAAATAAAGAAATAAAATAAAAGTGTTGATCAAACGTCCACATTTGTAACCTATTTAAGCACTCATCATCCAGTGCTGCCCATACTTCTATGAAGTTTCTAGTTCGAATTGACTCTGGTTCAGGCCACTTTGCTAAAGAAAAGAATACCGACTTTAACTCCTTATCTAAGGCAAGTTTAATGCAGTCAGTAAGGCAGTCTATAAAATTGTCAAACATTCTGTTTGATATTTGCAAGTTGTTTTCTGCACAGTATTCAGCGAGCATAGAAAACCCTTCAAAAATATCTTTAGGATCCGCTTTTGACCAGTCTTTTTTTATTAAAGTATCAAATTGGTCTTTATTTAATGTCGTTGATATAACCTTTTTTAAACTTATGGGAATTGAGTATCCCTTGCTTTCCATAACACTGTACGCATAATTATTCTCATGTTCCATAAACATTTTAACACATAAATTCGCATTGCCATGAAAGTTTCTGTTTACGATCTCCTGTCTGTTTAGTAAACTCAATGTTAAGAGTTGTTTTCTATAATATGTACCTGCTATACTGTGCAATATTTTTGAAAATTTCAACATGTCGATTTAAATTGTATTGGCTTTTAAATTTCGTAATAAATAGGCACAATGTTTACGAAGTATAAATCGGTTAAACTTCTTCTTTTTGTTCTTCTATTTTATTCTATATTTTTAGTTTCTGGCTTCTCTTGAAGAATTTTTTGCTGTGTGCTCGCCCTTTCAGTTAATAGGCCCTTTCTTTCTAGGTTATGTTATTGTTAGAGGTGGGTGATAAATAACATCACGATGATCCGCCGGCAAACAGTATCACCGTGCCTCGTTCCGAAGGAACGACGTTCCAAAGTCACATAGGTGTTCCTCCGTTCCAATAGCTATCCCCGTCACTCACATTACAACATACGTATTTGATACAATGCGCGATCTCCGTTCCGTGCACAAACTAATAAGAGATACTACGTATGTTCCGTGGTGACTGAGCGCGCCACTCGTTGTAGTTCTCTTCAAATCGAGCCATTTCGGCGATGGGAGTAAATGAAATAGGATGACTTTCTTTTCTCACTCACAAGGGTCGTAGGTGCTTATTACTACTAGAGAGGGCGGATAAAAAAATCTGCAGCAGTTATTATAAACCTATTTATGAACAAAGTAAAATATTTTTGTATATTTGTTTTATTATAGGAAGAGTTGGTATTTTATATTTATGTATAATCTATTTTGTGTATTTTACTAGAAATACATTACACTTTATTGCTATTTTTAACAATCCTAAGATTCGCATTAAATAAGTAACAAACAAAATTACATTAAATACAAAATTAACTTTTTGAATGGAATTGAAACTTATTGCAAAGGGAATAAAAACTTAAATCATTGTATAAAAAACGACTATAAGTATTAGAAAGAAGCCGCTGGCTAAAACCGTATATCGTGATGTAAGTTATAGGCGTGACAAGGTCACGGAAGTAACAGTCGTGACAAAATCACGATGATTTATCACTGTGATTTTTTTTGGAACCGGAACGACGGTCACGGCGATAGAAATGTAATGCTATTCCTCATGTCTAGTTATTGTGTCAAAACGGCTTGACCACAGACATATATATATGTCTGTCTGTGGCTTAGACTATTCTTTTTTTTCCATCCTCTAAGGTCTGTGGGCTCGACAGTCGACACTTTTTAATATTTATTTTGAGCTTTGTCTACAAACGTCTTTGTCACACACATTGACAAACATACGTACATATTTAATATTGAACAAATTTAATTCGAAAGCTCATATTGTGTTCTTCGTCTAGAAATACATATATCTTTCGAAGTTATACATTATACATTACATTACAGTATTTCGCGTGAATTAATTAATAAAATTGTATAGTTAAAAGCAAGGTAAAGAAAATAATAACGAGATTAAGGGTCGTATTCTAGAACTCTACTCAATGCTCAAGTCAGGATTTGAGTATGGTTTAAATTCAAATTTAAATTCAAAATTCAAATTCAAATTCAAAAAGTTTATTTCAGACATAGTCCATATTAGTGTTAGTTACAAAAAAATTCTTACAACCTAGTTAGTGCTAAATTTACGAAATATTACAGTAACTTATAAATTAAACCCCTGGAACCCATGTGGACTGAGTTCCAGTGCTTCCACAATTCACTGACAGGGTTCTCCCAGATCAAACGAACTAGGCTATTGGAACTGCCACGCACGCGACGCATCAGGGAGGCAGTTCTCTTCTGAATAATCGCGCTGAAGCTATCAATACGCGCGTCCGCGAACATACCTGATGCGCTGCAAAATCGTAGCAGCCCCAATAGCATCCTAAAACCATTATTGTATTGGACACGCAGGGCATTGACCGTCGCTTTAGTGTAATTTGTCCACAGGCTGCACGTATAAAAGGTCTGACAAAACGCCCTGAAAAGGGTGGTTTTGACATTACCCTCACAACGCGCAAACCTGCGTGACAACATATTACAACGTACGGCCAACGCTCTGCGCTCCCTCTCCATATCTACATCATCCTGCAGATTTTCTGTAACCCAGTGCCCTAGGTATTTAAACCTTGCTACTCTCTTGAGAGGCGCACCACACAAATAAATAGGAGGGATTGAAGCGAGGGCTTTGTTACCGGCTTTAAACACTAAAAGCTCGCTTTTATTTGTGTTATATGTTAGACCGTGAGTCATCGCATACTCCTCACAAATACTTAATAGTTTTACTAGCGCACTGATCGACAGACACAGCAGCACCATATCATCTGCATAACTAATATTATTGACAGTGATACCACCGATCGAGCATCCAATTCCCGTGCTGCTGAGCCTGGCGATCAGCTCATCTATATACCAATTAAACAACCTAGGTACTAGGTAGGAATGTACTATATGACCAACATAAGCAGGATCCAAGGAATAAACCAAAGGCGGAAACTTTCATAAAGAAAAGAAACGAAGTCACTAAGTTGATACAAGAAACAAAGAGCAAGTACTATCTTAAAGCATTTAAAAGCTGTAAAAACAAACCGGCTAAAATGTGGAGTTTAATAAATAATCTGTCAAAGAATAAAATAAAACAGAAAACAACACCAAACAAACTTAAAACTGAAAGTGGATATGCAACAGATTGTATGTAATGAGAACGTTATATGTAATGAGTTTAATTCTTACTTTTCCAATATTGGCAAAATTCTTGCGCAGCAAATTAATAAATCCTATAATAACTCCATCGTGACGAGTGCAATTGGTAGTACATATAAATTAGAAATTTTAACACTTACAAACGCGGAAGAAATATCGAAAATAATTGATACCTTAAACTGCAACACTAGTTCAGGCCTAGACGGGATAAACGCAAAAACCATTAAAAATGTAAAACCATTGATAATTATTTTATTTTATTTATTTATTTATTAAACTTTATTGACCACAATACAAAGGGTACAAAAGGCGGACTTAATGCTAAAAGCATTCTCTACCAGTCAACCTCTGAGAAAAACGAAATTCACGAACGCGGTAAATAAACAGAATATTACGGTTATATTAAAATAAATGAAACAAATTCATAATTATATATATAACAAACTAACCTAATACCTTACTTAATAATATAATACATACACTTACATACATATAAATATACTATACATATACAAAATACTTACAATAACAGAATATGATGATGATTATTGCTGTGACAAACAATTTAGAAGATGCTCATGAACATTATTTTTAAAAGAAAATATATTAGGAGACCGTCTGATGGCGTCCGGTAGAGCGTTCCAGAGCCGTATCGAGTGGAGAGTAAAAGAATCTGACATGAAGCCAGAATGAAAGAGAGGTACAGTGAGTGATAGTGAATTCATGGAACGAAGTGGGAGGTCATGAGAGTCACAGAGATACTGAAATTTACATTTCAAGTATTCTGGATAGTGGGGATTGAAAAGAACGGAGTACAACGTACAGAGAATTCTTTTCTGTCTGCGTTGACGAATAGGGAGCCATTTAAGTTGAGACCTAAAAGAAGAAACATGATCAAATTTCCGAAGGCAGAAAATGAAACGAATAGCATTATTGAGCAGGCGGTCCAACTTGTCTAATAGATTTTCGTTGAGATCAGGATAACAGACATCAGCATAGTCAATGAGTGGGAATATAAGGGAGGTGACGAGCAGGGTCTTAGTACTAATGGGAAGAAAATGTCGAAAGCGGTTTAGAAAACGTAAAGAAGAAGTAACCCTACGACTAACCTCGGACACCTGTAAGGTCCAGCTTAGTGAGGAGTCAATGTAAAGACCAAGGTTTTTTACACTACAACTGAATGGAACAGACGAGTTCTCATAAACTACTTGAATGAGCGAAGTATGGTCAATCTTGGATATCTGTTTAGATCCACCTAAAATAATTGCTTGACACTTGAAAGGATTAACAGATATCCCAAAATTAGTTGACCACTAACACATTGTAAATCGCTGTTAATGTCAGAAATCGCTGAATTAATGTCCTCGGCAGATGCCTGCGCGTAAATCTGCAAGTCATCAGCATAAAAGTGGTAAGAGCAGCTAAGTGAGAAAGAAAGAAAATTAATAAAAAGTGAAAATAAAAGCGGTGACAAGATTCCACCCTGCGGAACACCAGCTGCCAAATCACGCCAATCGGAGACTTTAGGACCCACGCGAACAGCTTGTTGACGATCACGAAGGTAGGACGAGAACCAGTCTAGTGATAATGGGGAGAAGTTAAGCGACTTCAGGATGGCAAGCAGAATGTCGTGGTCTACCATGTTAAAAGCGTTGGAAAAGTCGACGAGAACTATAGCAGTGACCAACTGCTTCTCCATGCCCAGCCTAATGTCTTCCACAACTTTGAGTAGGGCAGTTGTTGTGCCGTGTTCCGGGCGAAACCCAGATTGGAAAGGGGTTAGAAGGTTGTTAGAAAATGTGTAGGAAGACACTTGCTTATGAACAACAGATTCTAGAATTTTAGACAGGAAAGGAAGAATAGAGATAGGCCTAAAGTTATTAAGTTGTATAGGAGAAGATATTTTTGGCAAAGGTATAATAAATGCCTTACGCCAGGCACGAGGGAAATCACCATACTGCAAGGAGAAGTTGATGATATGGACAATAGCAGGGAGAATTTGATCAACAATGCTGACAATCATCACTCTGCTCACCTCGTCACATCCTACGGCTTTAGACTTAATAGAAAAAATTATTTTACGCAAATCGTCAGCTGTAACTGGTGAAAAAGAGAAAGAAACTGAAGAAGAAATGGGCCTGGAAGCAATAAGTCGAATAGTGTTCGCCTTAATGAAGGGATCTAAAGAAGGAGCAGACGAGAAATGGCAGTTGAAGTCGTTAGGAGCAAAAGGGTAGGAGTCAGGTTGAGCAGAACATTTGCCTAAGCCAAAAGTTCTGAGAAACTTCCAGACATTAGCAGGAGAACAATTACTTACATTATTATAAAAATATTGACGCTTAGCTGCCCTCACCATCCCATTACACCTATTACGAGCAGTCTTGTACAGAGTCCAATTACAATCCGACCTATCGCGCTTGTAAACCCGAAACAATCGATCACGTCTAGTCATAGCCATACGAATGCCCCTGTTAATCCAAGGAGCAGGAGGCCGCTTAACCCTAACAGCCCGTAGTGGGGCATGAGCATCGTACAAATTGATCAAACACTGGTTAAGGTTGGAGATTTTCAAATCAACTGACGAAGCACCAT